GTGTATTAATAACAATGAAGATTTTTTAAATTTTATAAATGAAAGCAAGGAACTTGATAATTCAACTAAGAAGATGTGTATTTATATTACTTTAAAGAATCTAGAAAAATTTCTTAAAAGAAAATCAAAGGTATAGCTTTTATCTATTACATATATTTATATAATTGTAATTTTAAAGTTAATTTTTAATTAGGATACTGATACTGATACTATTACGGATGAAATTAGTGATGATGAAAATATGACAAAAAAAAGTGTAAAAAAATTAAAAACAAGTAATAAGCCTAAAGAATCTGATTTAAATGAAAATAAGCTTAAGCAGGCACAGATTATTACAGAACTTCGAAATAAATATAAGTGCTTACAACATGTTACTTCTTGTTATGTTTTGAATGAATGGCATCTTGAATTAATTCCTTCTCGTTTAGTATTATGGGCTCATGATATTGTATAATTTACAAATAATATTATTGTATTTTAGATACGTTTTATCTTATAAGATTCAAATAGTATAATTTATTATTACAATAAATAGTGCTATCTAAATCTTATAAGAAACTAAATTATAACTTATTTATTTATTAGTACTATTACTTATTATTATATAGATGAAAAATGTAACAACGATTGATATTCCACCTACTTACCCTACATTTGGAATGACCAATGCTATAAAACCAAAGATTCATAATCAAACTACAACTCAACAATTACCAATACCAACTATGTCAACAAATATGCTACTATCTATTCCAGCAATGCTACCTGGCTTTAATCCTTTTATGTATCCCTATACAATTCCTACTCCATTATATCAGCAACCTCCTCAAAATACTTCTAAATGTAATATCACTTTGAAAGAATTTTTTAATGAATTAGATCAACTTCATAACAGTAATGGCGTATATACAGCTTTTACAGAATTTTTTAAAGAGTATGAGATTTTAGTAGATCATATAAAATATTTAACAGATGATTAATTAGATAAATTAGGTGTGACTAAATATGGGTGGCAAGTAAATATAAGACAAGCGGCTAAAAGATATTGAATAGATAGTAAAGTTTGTATCAGTACAATTATATATAATATAGAGTATTCAAATTTTTGGCACACTATATTTCTTTATAATATAATTACAATTTAACTTTGTTCTAATTCTTTGTTCATCTATTTTGAAATAAAATATTCATATATATATGATTAATTTGTCAATGTTGTAATATAATTGTTATAAAAAATTTATCATTCAATAAATTCCCAAGATAGTATAAAGTTTAATTCTGTTTGATTTAATGATTGTTTTCAAGAGAATCTCATCAACTCACCAACAATTACTTTGTAAATACCTCATTTCACTGACAATTACTTATCGGCAAGTTCATTTTACTAACAGTTTATTTTACCGAAGTCTATTTTACAGACAAAGTTATTCTAGTCAATATCAATAGAATTAGGTTAGAATTAGAGTTAAAGTAAGTGTAATTTATAAAAAAAACTTGTTGCTAAAATGAAATTCGATGAAATAGGCTGTCAGTAAAATGAACTTGTGGATAAATAATTGTCTATAAAATGTAGTGTCTATGAAGTGATTGTCAGTAAAACAATATGGACTCATATAATTAACTGTAATCATTTAATCATTTAATAAATTATTAGATAAGTATGATATTTGATTCTATTCGCTTTAATGTTTGTCTTTCAAGAGAATATATATACAATTAACTATGATTATCTAATTGTTCAGTAAATTATTAGGGTAAGTATGAATATTTATGTTTCAAAAAAATACTGTATATATGATCAACAGTAATCATTTAATTGTTTTATAAATCACTAAAATACGTATATACGTATAAAGCTTACTTTAATAATTGATTTCAAATTATTCAATAAATTACTAGTATAAATATGAAAGTTAATTTTATTCGTTTTAATAATTCAGTAACAAAATTCTTTATAGTAAATTATAATAGAATCACAATAATTTTAATTTAACTTAACTATATTGATTTAAAATATATTTATAATAAACTCTTCGCTGTATTAAATAGCTAATAAAATTCTTTAATATTTTCTTAAAAAATTAACAATTACATATAAATTGATCCCTTAAAAAATCCTGCTGCCATATTAGATATAATTTGAGAACATGCTACCATAAGCGCATAAATAGGATCATTAGATATAGTCATAAAATCTCTATTACGCCTAATCCAACTTTTTATAGTGCTAAATACAGTTTCGATCAGATTGAAATCAGGAGAATAGGGTAGAATAAATTCAACATGACATCCTAATTCTCTTATCATTTCAACAAGCTGATTATCATGATGAATTGTTGCATTATCAAGAATAATTACACTATGTTTGCCAGGATACGGATTCATTATAGGTATCTAAAATAATATTATATTTACTTATTATAATCATATTACTCTATTATTTTTAAAATTAAAATACTAACCACTTGTGATAATATAAATTCTGAAAAATGGTCTTGAGTACAACTACCCTCCATTATATCTACAGCTAGTATTCCATCTAATGATAATACAGATAAAATAGTATACCTCTTACCTCGTACAAAAATACAACTCTTATGTGCTCGTGCATTAGCCATTGAATATCCATAATATCGTGTAAGACTTCATTTATCTTTTGCACTTTCATCCAAAAATATTAACTGCTCTGGTATATAATCTAATCTAATTTTAGCAATAAATGCACTATGAACAATTTTGTTTCTTTCATGTCCTGCCTTTTGTAACTTAATAAAGCAAAATTAATTAAAATTAAAAATAAAGATAAATAATATCTAACTTTAAATAATTACCTTTTTATGAGTAATTCTCAAATATTTCAGTGAATGTCACAAGGTTGAAACAAAGGCACGTTTGCTAGTCAGATTCTCTATCTCAACCAAAAGCTCATCTAAGTACCAATCAACCTTTTCTTTAACCAAATTTTTTAATATATCTAATTCTTCATATGAAAATAACTTTCTTCTGTCTTGTGGAACCTTAAAAAGGTTATTAACATGTCCCCATTTATTAAAGTTTTAGAGGCTTCTTCTAACAGATGATTTGCTTATGTAAAGTGCTTCAGCAATTTCTTGTTCATTGCAACCATCTGCATGATGATATACTACTCTCCAACACAAATCTTCGCTCAGTTCTTGTCCCATAATAAAAACAAATACGTACAATAAAAAAAAAACTAAGATTTAAAGTTTTTATAAGCTTATTCTTAATCTCTTATAACAAAAAATTTTTTTTATCACAAAGAAAGTTTAAAGACTTGTTTAGTACTATTGCAATAAGAAGACTTTTAATGTAAGTAACCCATAATATATCAAGGGAGCAAAAAATATGAATCTCAAGATTATAAAAACATACAAAGGTAATTAAAGAAATTTTTCTAGTGAAAAAAACCAGGTAACTTGTTAAAAAAAAAAAAAACTTTTCTACTCACTTACTACAAATAAAAGGTTTATTTATTATGATAATGAGAATAAGTCAAGACATATTAATAAAACTTAAGTACTTATAACTGACAAATAAAAAAAATTTTTTTAACGAAAAAAAAAAGCAGACAATAACCCAGAAACCTTTTCTTCTTTACAATAGGCAGGGATAAAAAGTTTTCATTCCCAATAGCCTCTGGGGCTTATTCTATATTCGTGTGTATTTAGGAATTTTTATCAGTAAAAAAGTTTTTAACAAGAAAATATATGATAATTAGGCCATAGGTAAGTGCTTGTCAAATGAGTTCTACAGAATATGACGAATATGAGGTAGTTACTTATATAGTAATCGTGGGACTCACGGGACTTTAAAATTTTTTTTTTGTATCACAAATCGATCAATTTCAGATAAATCGAAAACAGTGATAATTCGGTAATAGAGATCGCAAAAAAAGAAAGAAGTAGCTTATATGAAGATATAGTAAATTTAATAAAAAGTTGTGAGTAATTTAGTTTAGGTAGTCTCTTAGAGTACTCTCCTTCCAAGTAGCTTGCTAAACGAAATCTAGTTATTGTTAAGTTTATAGAAACTCTCACTTACAATGATAAAGAACATCAACATGAAAGGAAAAAACTTTTTAAATATACAGTAGCGGTTGATGCTATATATGGATCAAGGTATTTAAAGTATGTATCTGCAATTAATTTAGCTGCTTTAGCAGTTAAGTATTCATTAGCAAGATTAAAAATGGTTATCGATATCAATAATCATATTATTAGTTCCAGTAGTTATAAGATATTTGTTAATTGGTTAGAGGGTTTAGCTATAAAACAACCATCTCTTCCTGGAGGTTTTTTATTTTTGGCTTTTGATAATAAGCAAAAAGGGCAAAAAAATTATTTAGACCGTGGGAGTAATACAATTGTATTTCATACTGTTACAAGTTTCATTGCTCTTAATCATGAGCAATATAATAATATACAAAATACAGATTTTTGGTTTGTTCTGCACTTAACCAAAAGCAATATAATAATTGTTTTATTTAACTTCAGGTATGGAAAATGAAATTCATAAAGAACTTACTAATTAATTATCTTTCTACTATTTTAGAAAAACTTTTTATTGAAAAAAATCAAGAAACGAATATGATTGATAAATTAGTATATTATCAAAGTCAAATTGGGTATATGAAAAAATGCACAGTTTGTCAAACTTCTAATATTAATAACAAGAAGCGAAATTGTCCAACATGTTATAATAAGTTACTAACAATTTCAGAAATAAATAAGCAATTTAATGAACTATCTAATATCACAAATATAGTTGAAAACTCTTTAGATATTTCTCCTTATTTATTTGAAAAAGCACGATTAACTTCAGAAAATAAAGTTTATATGCCACAACTATTTGTTTCTGATCCGATAGGAATTAATCCAAATTTGGTTACAACTATTTAAAAGTTTTTTGAGCATATTGAAAAAATTTCTGGTGTTAAGAATGATAGCCATAAATAGGTTGTAGTTACCTGTGATAGAGTTTCATATCATCACATACAAAAAATTAAACCAGAATTTCTGTGGCTTATATTAATTCTAGGTACTCTTTATGAAGAGATGAATAGGTTAAGATCATTTGTTAAATTAAATTGGGATATTGATATAAGAAATTTTGCTTACTGTCAAGGGTACTGAAGTGAAAATCAGCTTTGTTTTTTTAAAAATTGCTAAGACTATCACAAGTCATGGGATTCAATATGTAATATTTATAGGCATGCAATAGCTTCTGGATTAATATAGCTATATATTGCATCTGAAGAAAATCCTTCTGTTGAAGGCTATTTAAAATGGGTCCAAAATCAAACTGATCTCATATTTAGATTAAAGTATGAACAAATTTTCTTTTATTTACAAGCAATTATTAATTTTTATATTGGAGTTCGTTTTAATAGGCCTTTATTAAAATATGCGGCAAGGCGAATATTTGCACCTATTTGGTCTGCTCAACGATATCTAATTTATCGACTAATCAAATTGCTAATGAAGAACAAATTTTATGATTAAAACCTAACATTTGCAAGTTAATTCAAGAAAAAATTATGACTTCTCAGTTTAAACTTCCAAATAAACATCAAAGCTATGATGCAATACTTGAAGAAATTAATAAATCACTCAAAGCTTTAATTCTACCTATACCTTTACAATATTATTGAGAAATTGCAGCATGTAATTGTACTAAATTTTTGAAATTATGTACTAACCTTTCTAATATAATAGGATATTCTAAAAAAGAAACTCATGGACCTTGTGTATATCCTGGCTTTACTGCTGAATCATGTCGATTTTGAGTTCAGATAAGAAAAACCCAATTTGTAAATCTGAATGGCAATAATCATATCTTCCAAAATATAGGTGGAGAATAGATTCTAAGTGAAGAAATGAAAAGATTTAGTGAAATTGGCATATTAAAAGAATTGAATTTATTAATATAAAATTAATTAACAAAACATCATTAGACA